CGTAAATAATTAGTAAATAATATTGATATTAATGTTTATAATAATTAATATTTATTAATATTAGTAATATTAAAAAATAGTATTTATTTATTATTAATAGTAATAAATAATAATTAATATTTATGAGGATTATAATTGAAAAAAATGACAATAAGCCACCAAAACGCTACTCCAAATAGCGTTTTAATAAGCTAGCTTATGTGCATCCAAACATATACCTAGAAAATAAATTACTTTATTTTACCCAACAATGCCTTAAAGTTAGGGATGGTGATTTGCCCCGACCCGGTAGGTAATTCGGTTCACCCGACCAGAACGGCGACGGGGATTCTTCGTTAACCAGGGCCGGGATCCCCGGTATGCTCAAACCGGGGTTGAGGTTGGGGCCGAGTAGCGTATCCCTCGACCCACCCCCGTCCCCGGTATATAATTTAATTAGTTTATTTTATTAATATATATAATATATAGATTATTTATTTTCCAAAATTAAGCTTTTAGTTTAACAATTGAATTGAGACTCTCCAGACTCCACTAGACCACAACCAATCAATTGCCACGTCACGTAATCACGTTCAGTCTTCACTTCACCAGAACAACAGGCTCGGGGACGGGGGAACGAAGGTTTGACCAGGGGTTGACTAGAAAAGAAACTGGGGATGAGATGCTAATCCTCGTACCCCTGGGGACCAGGGTCGGGGGTCGTTAATAGAAACTGGGGTCGGGGTCGGTGTAACACTCCTAAAATCCAAAGCAACGAACTGACCTAATAACTTTAAATCCAACTTAAGACCATGGTGAAAGTTATTGGTAGCCAACTACTTAAGACTTCTTTCTTGTCATCAACAATGTGGGATTTTCCTAAGATGTTATAAACACCCCCTCTCTAAGACTCATCATACTCGATAAGGTTTGCCCCACAATCTCGATGGTACAATGATCGACTCTAATACTATTTGTAACACCCCAAAGCCTAAAGCAACGGACTAGCCCAATAACTTCGAATCCAACTTAAAATCATTTGGAAGTTATTGGTAGCCCACTACTTGAGACTTATAAAAAGCTAACAGTTCTCATCTTCTATCCATGTGGGACGAGTTGTTATAGCCGGAGAATGTAAAACCCGCCTTATCCTCGCCCCGTTGCCATGCCTACTTAAAATTTCCATTTTCTCCATTTTAAAGAAGTTAGAGCACCTCCAAGAGCAATGCTAAAATGAAAAGAAATGGGGTTTTAACATTTTTGTTACTCTAACAGCGATACTATCCTCTATGCTAATAGACTAAAGAGAAGAGAGACGGTAAAAATCTCTAAATTTAGATAAATCTCTATATAACTTTATAGAAGAGAGAAAAATAATATTTTAATCATATCCAACCAATTAAAGTCATTAAAGTACTTGTGTAGGAGAGATAAATAATACTTTATTAAATTTATAAAATATTTTATTAATATAGTTAATTATAGAATTGTTAAAATAGAGTAGCTGTTGGAGTTGAATGTAATTTTTTTTAGAGATTTTGATTTTTTATGTTTTATTATAGAAAAATTATACCGTAGCTATTAGAGATGCTTTCAATATATCTTTCACTATTTATTTAAATAAAATATTACAAATTTAAATCTGGTAAATTGTAAATATAAATTCATTTGTTTAATCATTTTATGTAAAGTTTCTTTAAAATCTATTAGAATAATAAACTAATAAAATATTTTAATAATTTATTAATGTGAAAATCATTAAAATAGAGACTCTTTTATAGTTAAATGTGTCCTTGTTTAGATATTTTAGAGTATTTCCAACGGGGTTTCTAAAACAAAGAAATGAATTTTTTGTTCTATACTTTATCCGTTATTCTTTTTAAAAATTCTGACTTTTGGTTCCCTATTATATATAAATTACAAAAAATATATTAAAGATGCTCTTGATTCTCTATTTTAAATAGCTATAAAGAATATGTTGGAGATACTCTGACGCTTCAACAAACTTTTTATAGAATGGTTATATTTTGGCTATGTCTGGCAAACTGACTGATAAACTAGCTGGTAATTGATAAACTAGTTGTTGGTTGATAAACTAGCTCATAAACTAATCATTTTTGGCAAAAACTAGCAGATCAAAATGTACAATGATAGAAAAGTGCATCTTAAAAAACTAATCAATTATAATATTTTAAAATATAATTGAAATAAA